CAGCTTACTCGTGATTCCAGTCACGTAGCACTTTAATTCTGCCTCGAATATTTAAGCCACCATAAAATCTTGTATCTAACAATTAACACGGACTCCCCTCGAACGTGATATCGCTAGATTTATACGCGATATTATACGATATTAAAGGAAACAGTCGAATTTTAATACGAGATGAATATCCAAGTTCGATGGTTAGCGCGATATGAAATTACTGAAATACGTCCGAGCAATTACAGAGATATTCATCATATTAAAAACGAAAAGATCTCAGATTTCACTTACCCTGAAGATATCGCGATTAACGTGAGATAGGTGAATGGGAATTCGTTGGTAGCACTCACCTTTTCATCGAGGTTGTTCAGATCCGGCAACTGAAACAAAAACAATCGAGTCGAGTTAGTCCTACAATCGACACCATTTTGCAATGGCTATTACGAAAGAGGGTTAACGTTCTATCGTTTGAAATTCTTACACAATAATAATATTAAGGGTCGTAGAGTAGACGAGAGGGAGAGAAGCGTTACCTTGGTAGGTGATACGAATGTTGTGGGTTCACATGTTGATTAACAAACATTAACGAATTATGTATGTACATACTAATTAATTTTAATCGCGATGCGAGCACAACAACAAGCTGACACACATATGACCGTGAACTGGAGAACGAATTGAAATTCACACGAGCAAGCGTCATCCTGCCATCTGTCGACGAATTCGATACTAACGTTTCCGTGAAAAACGAGACGAAAGGCTACGTTACCTACGTAAGTGCCTACTTTATCTACACACGAGTTTGGTCGGTCGGCAGATGCCGCCCACGGTACATGATTTTTTTTTTTTTTAGTCGCTTGCAAATTGAAGGAAATTGAAGCCAATTTGCAGCAATCAGCTGTCATGCTTGAATATATTCCGCAAGAGACTGTAGATAACGTGCAAGGATTAATTTAACGCTTGATACGTCAACCCATCTAATTAACCTTCATTATCCTCGTACGTGTCCCGAACCGAACGAAATAACGTGAAAGCGAAGAAGAAGGAGAAATTTCCTTCCGCGAGACATTTAAATAAATTGTTTTACAGCGATGACTAGCTCAAAGAAACTTCATGCAAATTTCAACGGTATTGAAACGAATAAAACATTCTCTCTACATTTGAAATTCATGAATTCCTTCGTCATGCGGTAACGGTTATAGTCTCACGACTTGTTTTCTAATTCGAAAATAAATTATCGTAATATCGCTGAAAAGCAAGACAGCCGCGATGACTCGACTTAATTATGAGATCGTCGCTGAGTCCCGTCGGGACACTGTTTAAATGTCAAGATACACGCGCTAAGAGACCGATCACGGCTATCATATTCTTTCGCGCGTTCAAATTTCTGGTTCACCTCGATCCAGATTATCCGTAGCCGACCAAACCAGTGATTCACTTCGATATGGAAATAACTGACACTAAATAATATATTTAATAACCTTGCCCGCTCTTGAAACACGATAACTCTCTTCGAACTAGGGAAAGACGTTACGTAAATGAAACGAGAACGTCTTTGAATTATACTTGTACTCCGACTTTGTACTTTCGACTTACATCTCGAATATTCGAGAATTTTTAACTCTATCGTAATTATTTGATCGTAATAACGTTGATTACTTGATAACCAAAAAGAAAGAGGACAAAAGAAAAGTCGTATTAGAACGTGAAAAATGAGAATCGATGGGTTGAGACTTGAAAGATATTTCGGAGGTCTCTGAAGGTCATTTCACGGTCAAGTATATATTTCCACGATGATATTTTAACTAAAACCGAGAAAGAATATCAAGTGCATATTTCGCCTTGAAGATGGCTTTAGCTATTCGAGTCTTATAAATGGTAGGAAGGAATGCATATCAGTGAAATCTGTTCAAACATTTACACTACAATCGATGCGTTATTTACCCGTCTTTGTCTGATACTACTTTCAACGTGTACCGAGAAAATAACACGACGTTTACAGCTGTGTATCGAGCGATACTCTACATAGTACATCATCAAACAATGGCACCTAGTTCTACGAAATCGAAGTTGGCCATTGTCAATGATCTTTACGGGGCTTTCATAATTCTACCGAAACGTTTCTTTTTTTAACTCGTTCGCTGTACAGTCAGTGTTGAAGAAACATCGATTCGTTATTATTATCACCGATTGTTTCCATAAAATAGAGATAACGTGGCCGCCTTCCGGAAATTGCTGGCTAAAAGTACGGTCACCGAAATCTGCCCTGATCTCGCGCGTATTCACGAACGAATAAAAGAGAAGCAGCGAGAACCGCGATGTATATTTATGCGATCGCGTTAACTGGGAAATTAAATTCTCGCGAATTTCATCGAGGTTTACGAGGTGGTGCGAGAATTTCACGGTCAGACGTCAAAGAGCAAGCAGGGTTTGGACAAAATTTACACCACCTCTTTCCTTTTCACTTCGGTGACTTTGTCCTCGTTCCAAGTGACGTTTATTGGCTTTTTGCGGGAATATCCCTGGAAATGATTAAAATACCCATGTATCGATAGAATGCGATCCATTAAAAACAAAGCCACTTCTTTTGACTTACGAACCCAGCGAGGGTAATGCGTAAAGTCCTAACGGTGATTTATCAACGTGTGCATTTATCGTGTCCTACGTCTATAGCCTCTTTGATCTTTTAAACGATTTCAAGAGAAATTTCCAACAAGAGGGAACAGCAAGTGGGAAAAGAAGAGAATATTGGAGGCATCGCGTCGATACAAACGGACGCTCTTTACCCTGACAACGCGGCTGTTATCACCGGCAACGTATTAAAACCATTATCCAAGTTATTTCGCTTGAAAAGAAAATCTAAACGTGGAATTTGCACCCTGCAAATTGGCTCCGGCTACGCTACAATTGCAAAGCAATCGAAATCGATCGGTGATGGGATTAAAGAACGATGGAAGCATTGCCTGTTTTCATTCCGAAAACTATGCGTGTTATATATATATATATGTATGAAATACGAAATGCGTGCTCGTCGACGTAGAAATAGAATGTACAAATGCAAAGAGAGTAACGATGATTAATATCCGCAAAGAGTAAGGTCAAAGGTGTAATATACACGAATCACCAACATACAGCTCGTTCAGGTTTTTATTAGAAATATAAACAAATAGTATTTTACACTGATTGATTGGAATCGTTTGATAGAACCTCACACGTTATCCCAGACGTTCGTATCTTCGTGTTCTCTCCGAATACACCTCTTTTATACACGTACGATCAATCATCGGTTTATATTTAGAAATCTCTTGCTCTCTTTCTCACTCTCAAAATTCCGCACCCGTACGCACAGATGATTTATCGAAGACGCTCTGCGTGATAATCTGGGTATTAGCAGATTCGGGGTTCGTGTAAATTGGTCGCGAGAACACCGCCACAGTCTTCGTTTAAGTTAATCGAAAACACCAGTGGTTGCAACGATCTTCGAAACATTTAAGGGGGTATTCCGGTCTAAACATTTTTTTTTCATACTTCCAAAGTTTAGACATTCAAGAATATGCCTTTAAAAGGATTTTTCAAAATTTCAATTATTTTATGTGTTACAGCCATTTTTGTGACGCGGCATCTGCTCCGGTCTGACCGAAACAAACGAATAGTAGACGGTAGACGTTGTCCGAGTGAACTTGTCTCAAAACTTTAAACGCGTTTTTCTCGAAACTACCTTTTTCGAGTTGGCGTGCACGATATCTCAAGTTCTAACGAACCGATTTATTTTAAATTTGATCTGGATATTCCTTATATACTCCTCTATCGTCCGGATCACGCTCAGCTCAAAATGTTTAGTATTAATATTTTTTAAACGTTCGGAATTGTCAAAAAAACGTGCGAAATAAGAAACTTTTTTCAAACGGCCGTCATTTTGTGAAAAAATATTGTATTGACTTTTCCAAGGTTTAGACGATAGCCGCATCCATACTAATTAAGAATCCGTTCGCATTTTTTGTTTCGGATGACCAGAAGGGTTGATATCATGCACGCCACGACACCCCATTTTTTTGGCAGCACCCACTTTGCCAGCTCATAACTTTTTAAATATTGAGTTTTTTTCGGTGAATTTTTTACGTAATCTCGAAATATCAATAAACAAATGCTAAAAAGAAGAATAGCAAAAATATCTTTTGTTTCGCTTGTACAGAGCTTGAAAAATCGCCCGAAATTCATGTCTCTAGATCAGAATACCCCCTTAAAGATCCTCGCAAATACAAATTCACAATTTCAAATTCATCTATAGATACTTCAATATTTACAACGTGTCATTTAAAATCGCGTTATTATCGTAACAAAAATCTTTCCAGATCCAAGGATCCAATATGACGTCCAGCCGAAATTTATTCGACGTACCGTTGATTCTCTGGTTTCTGGAAATTTGTTCGGCAGGCAACGGACTGTAACGTTATCGATAGTCGACGGGTTCGAAACTTCGCTCGATTTCTCAATCCGACGCCGGTTCGTCGTTCTCCAACTTTTCCATTTGCTGACTTGGCACCGTGCAGAACTTTGTAAGTTTTACCAAGTCTTCGGACCGTGCCGGCGAAAAATATGTAATTGATAGCGGAGAATCGAACGCGGACGTCGGAATAGAAGCGGAATCCGCTCAACGCAACGATAAGATTATTGTTTCGAAACGATATCGAAGGAAGAGAACAAGGCCGATGTGTATCGTGCATTATATTTTCCCGTTCGAATGAGATGTAACGACTCGATTATTACACGGAACATCGATAGAAGAAGAAAAGGAAGATGCACGTGTACACGAATGCACGCGCGTTCAGACCGGGATGCAGCTAGTATCGAGAAAAGAACGTGTGTTTGCGTGTGCAAAAGTAAGCGCACTGCGAATCACGAAAGGTTTCAACGAATATCTCGAGTATTCTACTCTCGTTTGGCACAAGATCGCCTTCGTTTCAGAGACTACATGGAGGATTTGTCGATACCATCAAACGAGTAAGGAGGTTTAATGTACGCTCGGATACACCCTTTTCCCTTTGATGTGTTTTTTTTTTTTTTTCATCTCGTTTTCCACATCTATGCAGAACGTCCATACCGAGCCGTTTTCTTTCTCTCGACTCGCACAAAATCTACTTGAACCGCGAGTCCATCTAAAGGCCGCGTTTCTGTCGTGTTTCTCGTTACGGAACGGAAACTTAAAGCAAACGACAAAGATCAACGAATAAACATAAAGTCGTAGAGTGTTTTAGAGACGAGGTTTAGTCGCTCTCGTTCAAAAATACTTTTTTCTTTCGGAGAAAGAAACGCCAAAGGCATTTCACGATTCAGAAATTCCTTCGTGTTTCGTTCGTTTCAAGGAAATCATACCGGTCGTATAAATAATTACATACATCGTCAATGTATAAACTGGCAACTCTCGTTTTAACGAAACTACCACGTTTAGGAACTTTATCCATTTCCATGTCGAGTCTCTCGATGAGAATCTCTTCAACGAATGTTGAAATCCACCTGATCCTCTTCGTCTTCCATCTATCAGCGATTCCAACAGACCTTTCGTAGTCAATGACCTACGCGTCAAGCAATTGTTCCATCATCTTTGAGGAATCCTCGGACGACTTCCGTTGCCAGAGGTTATACGATCGCCCAACACCCCCCCCCCTCTAAATCGTCAGTTCGTAGAGGCGTGTTTAACCACCGATTAAGAGCCACGGTAGAATCACGGTCACGCAAAGAGCCGCCAAGCAACTGGCACACATTGCCAGCGGACTGGCAGCTGCCTCCGGTTCCGCCTCGATCGTGTAATCCTCGTCACGCTCGAATTCATGGACTTCGACGTCGCACCGGAAACAGACTCGACCGCTCTTCAGATGCGAGCTGTCCCTTCGAAGCAACAACGCTGAACCTTTGCGCTCGATCTTCCATCCAGGTTCTTGCAGCAGCATACGAGTCATCATGTTTGATCCTTCGTTCTTCACCGTATGCTTTGACAGAATTCTTTGTTTCTACTCGTTCGCTGTCGTTTCGACGTTTTCCAGGCGAACTGGAGCATCCGGTTTCTTTCGAAAAAGTCGCTGCTTGTTCACCGGTGTCTTATTCGTAGAGTCAGGTTGCGTGTTTGGACGTTCTCAAGGCTGAGACCACCGGTATTCCGCTACCTGCAAGACAATACAAAGTTAATCAAGAGGACACTGGTGTAGATTGTTTGGACGTCAATTACGCGGACAATAGTCGAGTTGATAGATGAGACGTTGCTTAATCTTATCTTCCACCGTTCTAATTTTTATAGAAGATACAAATAATCTAATCTGACTGACTCGAGGCAGTGATTCACCGCAAAACATGCGACACTTATCAGCTTATCGACGACGATACAATATCTTTTTAAATGCTTTTTAAACATTATATCTATTCACTGAATAAGAATATGTTGATCGACGCTAATTGCTTCCGAACGGAATGAAAATACGAGAAAAAGAAGTATAGAAGGTACACCGTATAGAAACCGAGTTCCGGTTATTTTTATTCGCGTGCTAGTGAACTGCAAACTTGATCAGCAGACGATGGTCCATGAAAACGGACCTAGGATTGGTAAACAAAAATACGATTCTCGAAGAATTATGTACTAAATTCTATTATCTCTTCGTTCCTGACAATATGTAACGAAATATTGTAGAATCTTACTACAATTAGTTTATTTAATTTAGATTAAACGGGTGTTGGTTAGACAGGAAACGATGGTTGTTTAACGTGAACTAAATACAACAACGTACTATAATTAAGACAACTAAATAGTTAATTTGCAATTCTCGTCACCTCGGTTCCAACGCTCTCGCACACGCGGACCGCGCTCTCTCGACAACGCAATTCGTACTCTCTGACTTCTCAACTAGCACTGCTTGTTAACTCGTCCTTGTCCCTTAGCATCCCTTTGTCTTTTGTCTTAGTCCCACCACGCACGTGTTTCGCAACCGCTCGTGGCCAAGGTCAGACAGGCCTTTTCCGTGTAACTATTCGATCGAAGGATCGACGATACATCGTTGAGCCTGTCGACGCTTAAGCTTTCTCGCGACATTGTTTATGGTTCGTCCGATATCTCTTCGTCCGCGATACTACAATATTAATTACAACGAGAATTTAAAACTTATTCGGTAGAAATTCATTGAAAATGTTAAGCTCTCGTTACACGTGGAAAATAGGAAAACACAATACGCCAGCTTTCGCCAGGCTTAATGCGGCCATTAAGCGGGAAACGAAGCTACGAAATTCAACTCGCGACTGGAGATTTAGCTAGCAGGTGCTTCGGATTTATGAGCATTTAATACGCAGACACTGATGCCGTGGGCGCTCCATCAACTTCCCGCGCGGCCAGAAACGAGAATTAATCGAAGCAACTTCAGCTATTCCACCATAGCTTCAGCGAACACCGAGCCAAGTTGACTGCTAAACCAAGCGAAACTCGCGGGCTTGGTCCACGAAACTTTAGCCGCGATTCACTGCAGGTGATACCATACGATTACAACGCAAACAACGTTCGGTTCGAAGATATCGTTAACCTGTTAATAAGAAATTCGGTAGGTTAGCGTCGACGACGTTCATGTGGTAACGACCATACCCAAATCCACGCCATTCCATACTACCTGACAGCGAATCGTTAGGTTTTCACCTGACCTTTGCACATGGCTCAATATTACATTTTCCCTATTACGTAGGACAATCAGGATCTTCCCCTTGCCCCTCAACACCTAAAAACGCGACATATAAAAACCGCTAGTATTCGACCACGAGACTAGTCTCGTGTACAATTTGGTCGCGATTTGGACAACTATTTTAACTTCGCTACTTCATTGTAACATTACACTTAATCATTTTCGTGAATAAAAGCCTACGAAAAGCTATAAAAGCACAGTCAAGTTAAGTTATTGCTCAGCTACTCCTTTCTTATCCTTAATTTTACGTGACATTCGCAAACGTTTTCAATCGTCGTTTTATCTTACGTAGCCTCTTACCGTCTGAATTGGGAAAATAAAATTTTACGATACAGTCCTCAGTAAACGCGATACAACAAACGTTTGCGTGATAAGGAGTATTCGATTCGCGTTAGGGCATACAGTTCCCTATGTGAAAACATCACGAGAGAAAAACAGTCAGATTTGCGTTTTATCGAGGTTTTATAATCTTCGTATAAATCCAATTATGAAATTTCGTTCCATCGTAAATAAGTTAACCGCGAGCAAATCGTTACAATATTTTTACAATGTAAGCAATTGTGTAATACGACGAACACTTTGTGGAGAGATATTGAAATCTAGTAACGCGAAGATTAAAGATGCTAAATTGCTTTTTCCTCTCGCGGAGAACGGCACAAAGTGACAAGATTCGTAGCATTTAAATAACATTTTAATTACTCCAACTTATAATGCTGTATTACACCTAATTACGATGTGTACGTATACTATGAGTAGAGTAAATAACTAATCAGAATTACAAATCTCTCGAGGAAACAAGTATTTAGTACGTAACACGTTAAGAAGCTAATCGAACGACAGATAGCACGCAATTGAGAAATTCCTACATGAAGATGAATAAGACGGTCGAAAGGAAGAATTTTAAGAGTCTGACAGATTCGAGCAAGTAATAAATCTTTCAGCGAAAAAATAAGACCGTTCAGAGTACGTGATCGAGCGAGTCGGCCGTTTCTCAGGAGAAACGAATCATCAATAATAAGCTGTGAAAACTGGTCAAGAGGCATTAAGTTCGGAAACGGAGAACTTTCATCGGTACGGCCTTTCTGCCACGTTCTGCATCGAGCTTTGCCCTAGTTTCGCTTCTTCGACGACTATTAGTACCGATTAGACGAAGTTTAAGGCATTATCAAGTAGAAAACTAGGCAAGAGGAAAGTGTTTCTGTCTTCTTTTTGCTTTTCTTGCCGATAAATTAAACGAATGTAGCCACTTAATTAAATCTAGTGCGATACCTAATCAACGTCGCTCGTAATAAATCTCTGTCGAGAACGCTACGCAACGTTCACATGCCACAAAACACAATGGGCTACTGACTTAACTACGACGGCGATTCAGATTCCGGTCGACTTTAATAATAGACGTAGCAGTGAACTTTGCTCGGTAAATCGGTCGGCTCATATCGTTATAAATCGTTGCCCTATCTTGAACAAATACGGGTCGATAATTCTTTGCAAAATTTGCAAAATTTTTGGCCGAATCGAAAATTGTCTTATTTAGTAATACGAGAACGATCGACAACGTACAAAATTGTAAAAATGCTTCCTTGTAAAAATTGGGGATTGTGACTTGTCATGTTACTCTGTAATCTTCGTTTCTAACGATGCGACGAAAATATAAAGCTGCATCGCGGAAGCCCATGAGGTTTGGCAAAAAGCAACGCAACGTTATCGTATCGGTGGAAAAATCGAAAAACGGACAAGCATAGTGGAAAGATATAAAAAATTCCATTACACGCGACTATCACCAGACCGAGCTAGAGCAAATGCTCGGAGGGATGCAGTTCGCGGTGCTTTATCTCAGCCTGCTTTTGTTCATTGCTCGCTGAAGGATGTAATGAGATTCAGGAACAACAACACGCTTGACCGTACCCAAGTGGGCATACGCGGCCAGTTACATCACCTTGCCAGCTCTCGATGCGCAGCTCCATGGAGGAAAGAAAGAAAGGAGAAAAAGGAGAGTACACGCGGGCTGATTACAAACGTGAGCGGTAATTATTCGAAAACACAATACAGGAACGCCTCTCTGCCGGTGCACGCGTGCATTTCAAGCTTTAATCCGATCAGATTATCGAATATCGGTTTTAAAATCGAGCCACCGCGATACGAGAGTTATTAACAGCTACGCAAAATTCATAATTCGATGCATCGTTGCGAGTTCATATAACGCGAAAATTGCTGAATCATAAAGGTACTTTGTAGCATCGATACATCTTTTCGGAAGCTGCGTTTCAACCTCTTAACGCGGAAAGTTATATATATATTAACATATTTGAATAGAGAATAATTAATGACGAAAATGGATGCACATTTTTCATAAGTAGCGTGCGGATATTTATGAATTTTATTTAAGGAATTTAAAGATGCAAGAATATAGAGAATGCACGAAGCATTCAAAATTATATGAAATATTCAACGTAGATATTGTAATATTTAATAAGCGAAAGAAATTTCTAGTTAGGTTCCATTTCTCGCGTTATATTCATAAAAATATAAATTTCCATAAATACCTGTAATTAGTTTATCAAATGGTAGATATTTTAGTATGAAAGCTGTCGTAGCTTGAATCCACGAAGATCAATGGACAAAATAATCGACTAAACTAAAACAATCTATACTCTGTGTACGTATATGCGTGTCAAGTGGTTCGTCTTATCTCGGCAAATGTTTGATAAAACTCAGATAACGAAAACGAGGGACGCGAATCGAGAATCAGTACAGCGAAATTAAGCAGAAGCGGGCGTTCGGTGGTCAGACACTTTTCAGCCGACTGTCCCTTTTAGAGTATTTTAATCCGTCGGAGAATAAATGGAACAACGGGTTCTTCTCATTTATACAGCAAACTAAGGCAACGAACGAGTCGTGCCAACTTGCATAGTACTACGACACTAGTCCAAACTCTAAGACTCTAGGAACGCCGCTTACAATATGCGGTGGAAACTTGGAAATGTCATAATTACATTACGGATCTTTGTGCGACTTCTATTTTTATGAGCATACGCTAATTGAAATAACAATTGAAAAATCATTTACTTCGCCTCGTAAATATTCCAACGAATGTTTTACAACTTTGAATATGTTGCACAGTTTTTCATATTTAAATTTCCTAGAACTGCACAAACGTCTGTAATTCAATCACGAAGTTTCAATGATGTAATCAGAGTTTTTTCAGTGGTAGACTCTGACGTTAAATCCTACAGCCATATACATAACGTTTGAACCACTTAAATATACGAGACTTACTTTTCCTTCAAAGAGCGACTCGAGAAATGTGTCGTTCCATTAATTGTGGTAATTTCGGATTAAACACTTTGCAAACGGTTCCACCGCTCTCTCGTTAGAGAATATCGCGATAAAAATGTGTTGCGCGAAAGAGAACATTCTAGAAAGTATAAGCGAGAGTCGTGCGTTCTTTTTTTCTAGGTCGTAGTTTTCTTTTTCATCGCTAAAATGGATGCCTTATTTTTGTTTGGAGCACGCAACGATTTCCTAAAAATTTATACCTACTTTCAATTTGCTCGAGAAATCGTCGTAAAAATATAAAATCGGTAAAGTGTCTTCCAAATTGAGCTAATACCCGGAGCTTCCAACGATTTCACCACGATGATCGTTGAACTAGTTCACGGCTAAAACAGGAAACCGAGTTCCGAACTAAATTGTCTACAAATACCCAAATGAATCTCATGCCTTGCATTTCGAACACAAAAATCATAATACCAACGAAACGGAAAAAAAAGAATTTAATTTTCAAACGAAAGAAACATAAGCAAGAGAATGAAAAGTTTGGAAAGTCCACTGTAAGAACTCGGCCACTATATTCGACACGTCTTAATTCCCCGAGTCTTTAATGGCAATTCTCTGTCAAGTTAACCCAAATTGGCGGTTCAGTGACAGTAGTTTCGCAAGCTTTTATCCAGTCAACTAATGGTTTCCTGGTTAAAAGAAACAAGATTCTTGAAACGAGTTTCTATCACCGTATCACTCGATGCAACCAAAAGAAGAAGAAGAAAAAAAAAAAAGAAAATAGACCGAGAAAGCACACGATTATAAGAAAAACGTGCGTTTTCACGATCAACAACTTATAACTACATTGTTCGGCTTTTCGAGCGTCGAATGAATGCACGACAGGTGCAAGAAATTGCTTTCCGCTGTGTTTAAATATACAATCAGCACATTATTAGATCGGAGAAACGGAATGGCAATCGTTACCGGCTGCATCGAGTTAATTTCATTGGAGATTCGTAGCAGTGAGATGCAACGAAGCTGACTCGGCTTTAAAGACGGCCTAATAAGAAGGCAACGATATTCAGTCGTGTCCGAGTCACGGCAAACATTTCCACTTGAATATTCGCGCGAAAACATTCAGGTAAAACGTTGCAGTTTAGCGAATTACGAAAGAGATGACACCGTTTGCTTATGTTAGTTCCACGTCGTAACCTTCCTAACTCGTCGTATCCGTCGAATCTTCCGAGTCAGTTATTCCATTTCAGTTATACGCTCGAGTTCTTCGAGAATACGTCGAATCGAGATACACGAAAGATGAGACCGGAAGATGGATGCTAATTAATTGGATTGTTCCGATGGCGAAATCGGCGAAGATTTCATTTTAAAATCGTCTCGACGAGCCTGGGAAGACGGTATTATTTAAGTTGTGAAGAGCGACGTGAGCAAATTGCTCGGGTGCGATGGGACTTTTTAGCATGTTTTAGAACGAGGAAATTTGCACATCATTTGCATATCAGTGCGCGCGTCGTAAAAGAAACGTGAAACCGCCAGACCCGTATGCACCTAAAGTTTCCTTTCTGCAAGCTGCTCGAGAGGTTTTTAAGCTTGACATTATTTTAAAATGTCATTTAAGGACGACCTGAGAATGACCATTTACGGCTATAAAAAAAAAGACTGGAAGAATAGAGAAAGAAACTGAATTTACATCGGCGTATCACGCGAACATTTCATAAAAGTATACAATACAGCTTTGCCGTGGTAGCGGGCTTTCAGATTACGCGCTTTAGTACGAACTTTGGCTTTTCCTTTTTATCGCTGACGAATATTCGTCGAATGGGTACGTATGGAATTCGAATCTAGCGGGCTTTCCGAGGACGCGCGCGGATTGTGTACCGCTCTCGCAAAAGCTTTGAAACGAACGCCCCGAGGTCTTTTGTTCGTTCCGCCAGCGAACGTCTACACCGGACGTTTCAGCGATGGCGACACAATTTTCCTAGTAAACGAGTGCATAAAACGTATTTACGCGCATTTAAATGCACACGGCTCGAGTCTGACAGGGCCAACAATGCGAAACTTCGCATTCGAGAATTTCGCCAAGATGCAGAGAGAAAAGGAGAGAGAAAGGCGAGAAAAATTGACGCGTCGAATTGACGAGATCGAAAGAAATCATCGCGACCCTTTTCTTTGCACAATAAACGCACGATTACGTTGTCAGAAAAAACGAGCAAACGTTGAGCGGAATTGCATTACGAGACGATAACGAATGAAATATTATAGAAATAAATGTCTCAAAATGAAGTACTGTCTCGCGATAAATAATATCGATATCGTTGAAGTACGCGCTGATAGAGTAACTTTGAACGAAACCGAGCAACTCTCAATTCATACGCGAAATTCGAATTGAGGAGAAATATTTCAGCTTCGTGTCATAATTCGCATACATAAGATATTTTACGTTGGCTCGTCACTTTGACGGGATAAATCTGAAAGCCTTGAACCACAACAGCAAATAATCCTATTACAGGTATCATGGCAGTGGCATTAGTAATTTGGCACGAATCACCTTGCTTACGCTCGCTGGTAAATTCGTCACGTGTTATCAATTCACGTTCATCCTCGCCACTGTTTTCGTCCACCATTGCTAACGTGACACACGAAACTGCCTTTACGAATAATTTACGACCGCGTAAAACGAATGTAAAAATTGACAACGCTGAAGCAACGTTTTCCTCTACGCTTCGATAATTCCATGCTCAGAAACTAACCAATTTTATTATTGACAAATTCTTGAGAATTCGAAATGTTCCTGTATAATGCAAACGAAACGTTGGTCATATCTGAACGATAGCTTTTTTTCGTCGAATCTTCATGGCGATATGACGCATGCTAACGATAATTCACAGGAATACGAACAGAGAGAGGACTGAATATACGATCGACCAAACTCGTAATGAGTTCTACGTCTTACCCCGAATGGTTCACAGTCAGATACGCTTGCACGCTTTGTAATACCGCGCGAGCAGAACGTTTTTCTCATTCAGGCGGTCCCATTATCGGAAAATTTGCAGCAGACATTTTGCGTGGAATCGTGGAATTCGCTCGATTGTCCGGATGGTGTGTTCGCAGCCGAGGGATCAGATCCTAGTGTAAATTCGCCAGAACTTGGGGCATAAAGACCGGATACGCTTCCGTGGGAAAACATTGTCGCAACGAGATTCACGCTTGCGTGCGACTTATACAATACACTCTTAGTATACGATATTAGCATCGCAAATTTATGGAACGACTACCCAGACGACTTTTACGGTATGCGCGACGCGATATCGTCGCCAAGAGGAAGTAAACAACTAGAGCCATTCTCAACGTCGAACGAAAAGGTAAAAGTCCAACTGGACGTTACTCGAAGCGATTATTCGAGTAGCGAACATCTAACGAACAGAGAAAGAATTAATAATAACGATCGAATAATAACGATGAAGAATATGTCACACGATTAACCCGATCATTGCCGCGATGACAAATAGCGACTGTCATGCTATGGCACACGCGTACACATCGTTTCGAATTTACGACATTGCGGAAGTCACGCCGACTCGTGGCTGGTGGCACGCGCGAATCTACAAGGTCTCACGTTTGACCCGTAAAAACAATGCGCCATTGCGTACTATTCAAACCTACGCATTCCAAGCTAAATGTGGTATCACGAAAGAACAGAGCATACAAATTTCCCAACTGTGACGCAAACGTCACACGAATATCGATCACGGCAACAAAACTATACAAAACATTGTCTGTTTGATTAACCTCTTCAAGAACGAAACAGATAATTATATTTCAGTGATCTCGAACAAATGTACGACGATCATTGAGCTTTTAAGGTTCGTCGAAGGTATTTTGCATATTTATTAAATCTTTCGTTACCGAAGAATTTAAACAGTAAACGATATGAGTGGTGAATAATTTCGTGTCGAATATACCGTTAAATGCTGGAAATGTAAATGTAAAAAGCAATTATCGAAGGAAAACCGTAAGCGTCAACTTCGTGCCAACGTCCCTCTGTTTACCTAAACATCTCTACTTGTCACTTACATCATTCCCACTTCAACTATCCTCGCGGACCGAAGAGAAACAAATCCTGCGAACGTAAACGAATCCCTGAAGAGGTTAAAAAAAAGCACGTATGTTTCATACACGTTCCTGTTGACACGTACCTGTGATGCAAGGCAGCAAAATGAACGAGATAGACGCGATCGTCACACGTGAGTCTTCGCTAATGCGGAAACGGGCTGAAGAAGCGAAGGCGCGTCGTGTCGATGCGTCGCGCACGTGGAACAGACACGTTGGCCTTCTTCAACCTCGACAGAGAGGGAAAGAGAGAGAAGATCGCACGAGGTGGAACGTAGAGACGCGCGTCCTACCTCAAGCACGTCTGACACGCGAATGAACACCCGCGAAGAGCGATGTCGCGACGGGAGCCAGCAAGGGGAGGAAGCTAGTGAACGCGCAACAGACGCGAGAACCGGGGACCCTACAACGTTTGCTATCCCCGCCGCCTATACGACCCTCGTGATTCGTCGTTTCTCCTCGAGGCGAAGCTCGATTGGTCCACGAGTACGGCGACGTGTACGAAACGGGTGGCCGGTTTTGCCTCTACGGCCTCTCGCTAATCGAACCATCGGCGAATTTCACGACAGCTGACGGTGTTTCT